TTCAGAGCAGAGGCCCCCGCCGCAGCCCTCACTCCGAAGCCCGAGTTTGAGGCTCCTGCCTGTGCTGCCCCCAGTGCTGTGCCGTCCAGGCGGGCCCCGTCCACCGCCGCCGCATCTGAGCCATCAAGGCCCCGTGTCAGGTCAGTGGAGCGCTCTTGTGCACACACGCGGCGATCGATGTCCACTGTGATAGCACGAAGATCTTCGCTTACATCAGCCTGTAGCTGCATTGTGTGCTTCATAGAGCAGACCTCAGAGCACAGCTGCTCCATTCTCCCAAGTAGGCTTGAGACATCCATGTTAGTAAATGTCACCGGCGGCAGTTCATCCAAGTAATAAGAAACAAATCTGGGAGTGTTTTCTCCACACTCGTTCATTACTTTAAGGCAACTTTTTATATTGTTGATGTCTTTCTTTTCCCCTTTATGGGAAACGTTCCGCTGTATAGTTGGGCAAAGATCAAACAATACTTTCTTTGAGGATTCTATCCACTCAAAATCAAACGTGTTTACAGCCAACAGGACGATCTCATCCTGGCTTAATGTCTTAATTTTTACAGCAAAGAAGTTAAGAAGCAAATCCTCCACAATAACTTTACCGTCAATCGTAGTGTAGATCTCAGGTTTTACCCGAGACCGGCTGAGAGTCCGGCTAAAGACAGGAGCAACCGAGCTTCGTGGTGCAGTGTCCGCCATGTTCCTTTAGAGATGAATGAGTTACGGTGAGTAGCTTTGTGTATTGCTCAGGCAAAGGAGAGTTCAACCAAAATAACTTTGGAATTTGAAAGTTCTTGGGTTTAACTATACCTGGGAAAAACTACATCAAAATAAATAGTAAGCACAGTTTTTTGCATTAGTCATCGATATGTCTACATGTGACTCAGGTCACTTTTACTTGTCCTGATCAGCCAACACACTCTCATTCCATAATCGTCCAGGAGCGACGTTTGGTCAGTGTCCGTGGCGTGCAGTTGTGACGCTCCTAGGCTCCTTCAGCTTCATAAAGGGACGCAAATAGCTTTCAACTGATTGCAATGTATTCCCATCTGCGGCGGGATTTGACGCTCATGGAAGCACGGCATTCGTTTGTGTCGGTTGCCCTTAAAGGCAATGTGAGCGTCCATTCTCATTGGATAACGGAGAATTGTACACCCGGAAGTAAGTATTCCCCTTACTGTCGATTGATTTTACAGTGATATCTGCACTACTCATCGACTAAAAAACACCAGATTATCCTTGTTAATTACACAACATTGATTGGTTTAAATTGTGTGCAATGCTTTTGTATTTTTCCCCTTCGATTCGGAGAAACAAATATTTTTTCGGAGTAAAGGATGGCAGAAGACACTACACTACCCAGAATCCCCAGCTATCGTTTGGACTACACCATGTGCTCTGTTTGACAAACCCTGTGATAGTCCTCAAGCTCTGTGATTGGAGAGTGTGCTCCGAGGGTTACACCGAGCCTCGAACAGCACTTGAAATGGGATGGAACCACGACAGACTGTCCAAAACTGGATTTGAACGGGTCCACCGCGTCCCCCCCTCCCCCACCCCGTCCCCAGAACTACACATGCTGGCTATGGTGTTTCGCAACATGTTCTCTATCTATGGCATGTCTCTACTGGGAGTTGTAGTTTTAAAAGACGTTTTCGTATTTCCCATAATAAGAAGTTGCCAGTATTAAACTGTGTACATCCCTGGAGGTTTAGGGGATAGGAAACACTCAAATTTAAAACATATAATTAATAAATGGGTGAAAATTGCTTGTGCCCATAATGGGCAGCATTAATATATATACACACATGCCAGCTAAGGTCAGAAGAGCTTTATTTAACAGCTGGTCTTATGTTTGTGACCCCTCCTGTTGTTAATTGATAACATTACATTACATTACATTAATTGATAAGCCTGAAACATGCACTTGTCAAGGTTCAGAGGCAAATTTTGCAAATATGGCAGTAGCCATCGATCAGCTTAAGATAAGATATACTTTATTGATCCCAAGTTGGAACATTTGCGTTACATCAGCATGTGTAACAGTTGTAAATATGCAGTGGTGTTTATTTGTAAATCATTTAGTATAATCACACAAATTCTGTGTTTTATATTTAACAATTCTGTGTTCTTTATTTATTGATTGTTCAATACCTGACAAGGCCGGAGATGAAATATCTACATACATCTTATAAGAGTATAATACATGATGTATAATATCAGTTAAAATAAGTGCTTCAACATAGTTAACATCGCTGGAGGTATGCACAAATATTGATAGATGTCTTGTAATGCACTATTGAGGAATCTGCCGACCCAAGTTTTTCATTCAATGCATAACTACACCATAGTTGTGTAGGCCTATATGATATGTCAATAAACCTTAGAAAATCTTGAAAGGGATGTGCAAAATAGTCATTATATACAGTCTTTAATTAACTATTAGTAGAGAATAACGAGTAATGAATATACTTTATAGGGATCCTATTAATATCTAATAATACAAATAATGAAATTCAATAACATGCTTTAACCACTAGGTGTCCCTTTATATCAGCTGTGCACCTTTATGGTGTAAATACAGCCTATCTACCAATTGGATCAAATATAAAAGTCAGCCGAATTAGTGTTGATACTGCAAGGAGACGTATTGTGTGAAAAGAAATGTAAGATGTTGTTTAATGGCTGATATATTTATGATCCACGTCACGTTTTCAGTTCCTCATGTTTGTCTAGAAGTCTTCTCATCAGGGCTCTATAAATACAGAACTACGGCAGATATGTAATATTTAATGCAGCCGAACCGTGTATTACAATGCCGTTATGTGATGACTTCCAAAGAGAAAAGCAAGCACACTCGGAATAAAGTATTTTTTTTTAAAATTTTTATGTTTTCGGTCTGTTTCCGGTATTTGTTAATGACGATGTGCTGTGAGATGTGAGACTGGAATTGCACAGGGGAAAATAACATATCTTTAGATGCGGATTTTGTTAAACTAATACGTTTGCGCTGTGGACCAACACTATACATTGACGGGGAAGGGGGTAGCTATAAAGATAACACCATTAAACAGTTACACAACATAACAGAAATAATATCGATAGCAGCGTCCCTAGTAACCACCTTGGTAACAATGTTCTATGGATGCAATTTCCTGAAGTAATCTTCGTAATAACTAGCAAACTAAAGATCATGTACATCCACTGCACACATCATCTGAAATAACAACTCATATTTCTCGCATCAAATGACATCAAAACGCATTTTAATGGCCAAACTAACTTTAAAATAGGCATTTTCCACCGAGAATAAAACGAAGTTCGGCCATGTTTTTTTTTTCTGCAGGGAGAAATTTGAAGATCATGTGACATAGACGCCAGTATGGGCATAGATATGTCTCATTATTTGTGTGAACATAAAAATAATTTGTGTGTAAATATGTGATTTGTAAATGTAAAACAAATACGCTAAATATGTTCACAAATAAAAAAAAGATCTGTGAATATCTCTTTAACATTTACACCTTTCGATCAGGCATTTGTAAATCCATTTTGTATTTGTGGACCAAAAATGCGCTTGCGGATCTCAAATCCCTGTTCACGGATCTCAAATCTCTGTTCGCGGATCGTCTTTTTACACACACGGAATTTTGAGACATATTTTCCGCCGGTCTCGGCTAAAATCTACTCGTGTCTAGGGGTGGGCGGATCGATCCCAAAATATCGATACCTCCGATATTACGTTACGTTTCAAAATATCGATACTAGAGCCAATAGGATCGATACTGTTATACTTTTTTTCTCGTCTCCTCTACTCGTCAATTTCTTCAAAAAAACTGGAATGAATGGTGAAAAAAAACGGTTTGTCAAACAGAGCACATGGTGTAGTCCAAACGATAGTTGGGGATTCTGGGTAGTGTAGTGTCTTCTGCCATCCTTTACTCCGAAAAAATATTTGTTTCTCCGAATCGAAGGGGAAAAATACAAAAGCATTGTACACTTTAAACCAATCAATGTTGTGTAATTAACAAGGATAATCTGGTGTTTTTTAGTCGATGAGTAGTGCAGATATCACTGTAAAATCAATCGACAGTAAGGGGAATACTTACTTCCGGGTGTACAATTCTCCGTTATCCAATGAGAATGGACGCTCACATTGCCTTTTAAGGGCAGCCGACACAAACGAAGCCATGCTTCCATGAGCGTCAAATCCCGCCGCAGATGGGAATACATTGCAATCAGTTGAAATCTATTTGCGTCCCTTTATGAAGCTGAAGGAGCCTAGGAGCGTCACAACTGCACGCCACGGACACTGACCAAATGTCGCTCCTGGACGATTATGGAGTGAGAGTGTGTTGGATCAGCATATGACTTGCTCACAGCAGACATCACCGCAAACTGAAACACAGCTTTAAGCTATCAGCAGAGGAATCGCTTTTTAACCACAGAGCGTTGTTTAGCACATCATAGTACAATACAGAGAGCTGTCTAGTCTGTCACATCGTCAGAGTGTAAACCTCCTCAGCAGTCCACAGTCCTGTGACAGATAAACACACGCTGTTTACAAAATGCACAAGCTAACCTGGTATTCTTCAATGAAAAGACTTAAATACCAAATAACTCAACACTTTTTTCTGAGAACTAAATGGTTTTGATGTTGTCTTAAAATGTTTGAAAGAGTACAGTATTGAAAAGGGAACATGCCTTGTACAGATGTGTTTGCTGTAAGAGTTGTACATATCTGCATTGTACTCCTATCTCAAACAAGCATATAACTGTTTACTTTACCAAAAGTCACTGATGCATGGAATGATGATTGTCAGCCAAAAAGGACTTTTGCCATCAGTTCTAGTGAACTATTGGGGGATTGGTCTTTGTTACTTTCACAGCTGCTGCTCTGCTTTTTGGTGGGAAAAGTGTCTCCAAAACAAAGTGTTCTTTAACTCGAAGAACTGCTGTGAAACATTTTGGAAACAAAGCATTGTTATAATAATGTTTTTACAGGTCGACGTTGATGGGCATGGGGTCAGGAACGAGTGGAGGTGGTGCGGCCAACCCCTGGCTGATCAACGAGTCAGAGGACACCAGAGGGCTGACCTTTGGCGAAATCAAACAGCAGCAACAACGAGTCATTGAAGGTAATTACACATAATTGAGTTTTTGAATTAGTGTAATGACTTTCTAAACGCTTTTCTACCTTAGCGTAATGAAAAGTTAATAATTTACCAAATTCCTTTTCCATTAACAACAAGCAGATCAGGATAGCGGAACCAAAAACACTTAATATCAAGTCTGAAATCTAACTAACCCTCTATAGGGTATACTGGTGTGTGCTAACATATAAAGATGATGATGAAAGTTTACATCTAGAAAACATTCCTCAAAGTCTCTGACATGATTTGATGACTTAGACAATAGTTCACCTTACTCCAAGTGACACGTCATTGCTATGTCTCCATTACGGCTCTGGTTATTGTGAATTTGTGATCACAGATTCCCCTTTAGACAGTGAAACCAAACCACATGGAGGTTTCCATGTGGCTTTCCTGTGGGATTGCTGGTGCGGTTGGGTAATGGTGAGCGCCTGAACCTGTGGTAATAAAACAATCCTGTGGTACAGAGTGTGTCAAACTTGGAAACCTACAAAGACCAAAACGTTTCTTTTCTTTTCTTTGTTCCTTTTCTTCTTTTCTTATATTTTCTTTCAGCTTTAGTGTTTTTTTCTCTGCACCTTGGTCTGCCGCAGTTATAATAACATGAGTATGGTTGAGTGGGGTAAAGTACTGAATGACTCACATGTGGCACTGTGAGCGGAGCTGGACCCCAGCAGCCTGTCATTCCTATTTCACAAATAGTTGGCTCATTATATTACAAATACAGTATACTCTAATTGCTCCCGTCTTACAATTTGCTTTTCAAATGGCGACTGCAGTGTTACTTTATTGTTTGTAGTACCATTCTGGTACAAATCACATTATTTGTATTGTTTACAATAAACGGTTTCTCTGTATGGTTGTCTGGCATTGCTTAATCTCAGTGCTTTAACTGTAAGTTTTCCTATTTTATCTGGTATAAAATTAAACTTTCCTCTCTACACAGTCCAGGATGCAGGCTTGGATGCACTCGCAGCTGTCATCAGCCGGCATAAGATAATGGGCCAGGACATCGGCAATGAGCTGGATGAACAGAATGGTAAAGTTGAATTTGCATGTGTTTCTGTACATATTCGTCAAAAGAAACATTCCAGACACATTACACACTGCTGTGCGAAAGCAACCAGACATAGTTGTTCTGCAATGGAACGTCTTGCCTCATGTAAACTGTTGGACAGTGATACTCCCTCACGCCACCGCAACACGGACATAGCACACCCACACCCTCACACTACCATTGTCGGGAAGACTGACCTCAAATTCAGGTCAAGGGCTTCTTCACCAGATTATCCTTTGTCTTGCATACATAAATAATCTTTATTCTGCTTAAATGCATTGAAAAACATGCAAAGGTTTTGTGGAATCAGATCTGCTCAGAGATAATGGTGCTTTGGAGTTATTTCAGTTATTTCATCAGTCCTTAAATAGCTTCCCTCACAAGTATATATTGCCATAAAGATCAGAGGGCATTGCCCCAGACTGCTTTATTCTCAGACAGGCGGTACTTGAGACATAAGACTTTGGGACGATCATCTGTCAACCGAAGAACAATTAAATCCTTTAATGCATCGCTCTCACAAGACGTGAGAGAAGTTTTTGCATTGAATTTTGTCTGTCGGCTTGTTTTTTTCACAATCAGGAAAAGAAAATCTACAATTCAGACACTGCAGGTCAATTAAAGGGAGAGTTAGTGAGTGTCACTGTAGAAAGGGGACTGGTGTCTTTATCACAGACAGTTAGGAAGGCACTCTAGACTTAATATTTCTTTCTCAATGGCTACCCAACCTTGACCTAATAAAACAGGGTTCTAGTTGTTGGCGAGCTATGCTGCTTTTCTGAGTTGTACAATTAGCGAAAAACAAGGGGATAACGCCTCAATCTTGACATGGGGCTTTTAGGACATTGTTGGAGCCTAACATCAAGTTAAATTAATGATTTTTATGGTTTTTAATTTGTGTCAATCTCAGAGAAGATCCCTGATGGGCTGTTCATGTGCATATGTCTCCCACACATTAAGTACAGACAGTTATTGTCCGTTTCTACAACATTGACGGTCTTCTAGTTGGGAAAAGAAGGCGTTGTACTACCCTGCAATATCCTGTCTGAGCAGTTGTTCCCAAACAGGTTGTATAACAAAGTGATCTCGACATGGAAACAAACGACCTTGCCTTCTGCTGAGAAGGAATGGCAGATGTTTGCTTGACACCAATGGGAGAATGGAAGAGAAAGAAAGGAAAGCTGATTGTTTTAGCCCTCTTTCCTGTGACCATGTAGAACTGGAGATGGATCATTGCTCTAATGCTCCGACTGGCGTACTTTTCTTCTCGTTCTTTCAGCTTGAAGTCAGTGTTTCCAATAATATGAATGTGAACGGGTGATGGGAGAGTTGTAACTGAGAATTCCACCAGTTCCACCTCAAGAAAGCGAAAGCAAATTCATTTTGCCGTGGAAACAATGGCCTGTCCATACACTCATCCTTAGATTCTACATGACAATTCATTTTGAAACTCAATTATGTATTTCGGTAATGACCCCACACCATTTGTTGGTATTGTAATCAGCTCTATGGGGGTAAATCAAAACTATAGGATTGTGTAAAATCACATTTTCATCATATTTGGTTAACATTTAGGAAAGCATATCTTGGTATTATGATATAATAACACTTGGATATAGACTTCCCTTTTTTATTACTCGATATATTCATGGCGCATGCTGTGTAACTTGTCCCTGTGTACATAAAGACAGATGATAAAGTGTGGATGTAGAATTTCTTCTCAAACCAATCCAAGCCACTCCCGGTCTCTCCACAATTTACGACCTTAGCTCCGGGTTCATAAGGCCTCCTGACAACAGGCAATACTTCACAGAGCTGTGGCCTTCCACAGCTTTTCTTTACCTCCCCGTGTTTCTTTCCTTTCGTGGGACCTTTGTTGACCCTCCATCTCTCATCTCATTCCCTGTTTTCCTTTGTGTCTTTTAACAGTCCAGATATTTTCCGTCTCTTCTGTATCCTCTCATCCTAAATTATGGGAGTTGTCCTTGTTCCTTAGTGTTCCACAGGATGGAGAAAATGGAATATATCAAACATCTAGTTGAATAACTAGTTTATAATGGGACTGCTTGTGTTCTCTTAGCCTGATTGAGGGTTTGTGATTGAGGGCTCTTTTGAGTTTTGATAAAGAATAGTAACAGTCTACAATATGTTCATGTATTTTTTTTCTGTTTTTAAAAAAGTATATGCAGAGTAAGTGTTGCCTGAATGCTGCCCATATGTACAGTTGTAAAGACTTAGGGGTGACTTTTTTTTAGTTAGTGTTGAACCCTGCATGTTGTCAGTAGAAAAAAGTATGCTTGTCCTCCTTGTTGTTTTAACTTTCAGTCTTGTGTGTGTTGTTTGAGCTCTAGATTGTTGAGTCACTATGGCAATTTGCAAATCACTCAATATAAGAAAATGGCAACTCATAACTGTTTTCCCCCTCATTCCTGCTTGGCATAGCAAGTTATTGTGTAAGTACTGTTGCTATGACAGTTGTATTTATTACAAAATAATATATGGTATGATATAACCAAAGTATGTTTATGAAGAGACTGTTGTTACTTTTCCGTTGTAAGCTATGCCCTCACTTCAGCTCTCTTCGGTAGTTAATCCAGTATGTGAGGAACGTAGCTTTTGTATTCTTTAGTTTTATATCCCTGTTATTAAAGTATTAACTATGCTCTGATTTAAACTATGGTTAGAGTGTGGCTTCTCCTAGTACTGTTTTTCCAAATATGAGACATTAAGTCTCAGCAAATGAATGTGGACTGCAAATAAAAAACTGAAAAGACAGTTATTCTTGTACTCAAATTCGTTTTTATTATTATTGCATGAGACAGCTTTGTTGGCGCTTTCTTACTTGTATTATAATATGTCACAATCGACAATGTAAAAAGTAAGTAATGTTTTCAGAGAGGCAAGGAAAATGGATATACGTTATTAAGCAGGCGAATGGCAAGGCTCCTCGTTGATCTTGACAGTTGGCGCGTAACCTTGGCGTCCGACTGTCTTTCTGTCTTGTAGGGTTCCTTTTTCCCCTGATCACTGTACTGTGGCAGTGTTTTCCTATAAATAGATTAAGCTCTTTGTAGTTTGGCTCCTCAAGTCTAGCTCACGACCCAAGTGCAGTGGAGGTTGCAGTCATTTCCTTTTTCGGGAAACAAATCCGGCTGAGGTCATCAAGGAAGATGACCCTTTTCAGAGGTTTAGAGATGAACCCAAAGCCCCCAGTTACTCCCCTCTCCCTCTCAACTGGATCAAAATGCACTGAATATAAAAAAGAGTGAGCAGCAGACCGATTACCTCAATTTCAGTCTGCTTTACAGCTCATAACATTAATCCATTGCATACTGAACATTTTCCTTACTAGCCAGTCATAACAAAAAGAGAAATTAAATCATGATTGTTAGTGTGGTAAAGTTAGTTAAACGATGAGCTGTCATCGCGTTTTTTCATTTTGTAACATGATGTTACTGAATAGTAATGGTATATTTTCATTTCCAAATTAAATGTTGCAGAAAATAGTCCGGCACATACCAACGGGAATGGCTTGCATCAGCAGTAGTCTGCCTTCCCGCCGAGGAAGATCAACATTAATTTCACTTTATTGGTGTTGATATTTCTCATATTGTGGCCTGGACAATGACTCACTCTGTGTCAATGTCTTGTACTTCTGTCTCTACAGACAGTGGCTAGCTTGGGAAAATGGCGGTACGAGTTTGAGGCTGTCTCAGATTTTAAGGGGCTTCATTTAAATTAGTTTTGACTGGTGGTGAGATACTGCAGCTATGACATATGCCATGTACTGTTAAAACTCTTGTCTACAGTAGAAATGATTAAAAACCATATGATGTAATAGAGACTCAATAATACACGCAAACTAAATCCTCTTTCAGGTGTGGACTAATCAAATGAATGCATGAATGATGCGTTTATCTATTTTCAACCAACTCCTAACATGTCTGAAGTTCAACAGGAGTCTAATTTTTGTTGTTGTTGGTAAAAGTGTGTGCCAACCACTTACCGTAAGAAACAGAATAGGCCTCGCTCCAATGATGGACTTCTTGCTAATAATTAGATCACTGATTTGATTTTGCGTAAGTAGAGCATGTATAGGCCCACGCTGGACAGCACTAATGACATCCAAATAAACAGTAGAGTGAGAGGAGAGGGGCACTTACTGCTGCAGCTCAGTGACATCAGCATCTACCCCACAGAACACAGCCCTGTGCTTGCTTCTGCTTTTAGAAACAGCTCGGTGAGCAAATAAACCATACTAATGATGGCACTGTGCAAAAAGTCCGTGTGGTTAGACTTGTAGATTGATTTATTGTTTGTTTGATTTGCTCCGTTTGAAAATGAGGCAAGTAGTAGTGAGTAGTGTTTTCCAGACGGCATGGAAATGCAGAGTCATGATGTGATATTCAAAAGAGTGTTGTCAGCAGAGGAATGGCAAGTTTGCAATGAGCCGCGAAAGAGGGCATCATTTTGTGTGACCACCAGATTGGCTGACTGGTGTTTGACTTTGGAAATAATCCAGAACTGTCCGTACGTGATGGAGGGATTACACACCCACGCTGTGATATTATTTGTTCACATTTTTCATGCCAACTACACTGCTCTCAAAATACCTCTGTGAACTGAGAATAACCTGTATGCAGGGCTGCAACTAATGATTAAATCCATTATTGTGTTTTCTTTCTCAATGCAATTTCTTTTTCATTAATTCAGTCATTTATTCTTAAAATACCAAATAAAAGTGACAAAAGCCCCACATTTCAATAACCTATTTTGTGTGTCAAAAAACAAAAAGGATCCAAATAGGAGGAATGAAAGATCTCATCTTTCAAATACATATAAATATATAAATTAATTGAATTTTTAGATCCTTGGGATGTTTCCAAATTGAAAAGCATTTCGATTTTAGACAATGATATAAAGTGATGTATAAAGTTGTGTTTTAACCAGATTATTCAATATTTACTCAACCTTACTCCAGAACAATAGTTTTATAGATTAAACTGTTCTTTATTTAAACTTTTTAAAAGATTATTCTGTTTTAGAGAGTTTAAGATTCTGAAAAGACATTGATGACAGTGAATGAGTGATGGAATGACAACTAAAAGGCCAAATGAAGATTGGACTGGCACCTCAAGTCCCCAGGCCAAGCCTCCTGTGCCCAGCTTCCTAACCAGGATACGATCAATCACGAGCCCTTTTGCCCTTGTTTCTCTATCTATCCATCCCAGCATCCATCTCTGTCTGAGGCCTGTTGGTGTCACACTGATAGAGTTGTGAAGAAGAGGGGCCCAATGACATGAGGGACTTGGGTCGCATCAACCACAAGCCTGTGATGAATATTCCAGTTTAGGCACAGCAGGGAAATTAACATTTCTGGTAGCTAAAGAAACACAACTTGAGACATTTCATCAATCACACCTTCTTTTGTTTCCCTCACTGGATTCATGCCCCATTTTAACAGTCAGAAAGCATGGGATTTGGCTTAGATTTTCTCCACTTTCCGTTTGAAATGTAGCTTTTTAATAGTGTTTTTAGGCCCCAGGTTGTTCTTACGTATCTTTTCTGCCCGAAAAGTTTGATTTTTATGTGATTTTATTGGCTTTAATTGTATTGAATTGAAAGTCTATGTTGAAATGAAAAAAATCCACACGTAAAAATGTGTCTGAATGTTTTCTTATGTGGGTTTAACAACAGTGGCACAGTAGCTTGTTTTCAAATACACACTCACTTTTGCTATTTACTGACCATGCAGAGAAATCAATCATACCTTCTTGATTATGAAAGGCAGAATAAGGGATAAGGGATTTTTGTTAAAAACAATATTTAAAGGGGACCTATCATGCAAAATGCACTTTGTGATGTCTTTTATATATAAATATGTGTCCCCGGTGCGTTGGGGAACTCACGCAGCGTCAGAAAAATAAAACCCTCTCTATCAGAAACAATGCCTGATGTGTTTTGGACGTCTTTGTTCACATTAGCAATCCTCGCTAACACTCAGAGCTAACCTGTATTGAAGAGCACGTGTTTAAAAAGCAGGAAATAAAAAAAGAACTCACCTTGTGATAAACCTGCAAGAGAAAAAGCATTTGATCTCCATAGTGTTTCAGAAATAATCCTTGACGTGGTTTAAACAGGATGGCGAAACATCACAACCAAATTTAACTTTATCTCTGGTAGAATTCTGATCAGGCATTAGCCCCGCCTCCTCTTATTTATTTATTTCAAGCTAAGGACCCAAAATATGAATTTCTCTAACAGGGCTTCAAAAGAGGGGTGTGAGCAATATGAGGCATGGCAACAATGGGTGATCTGTTTGATATTTTGAAAAAGAGACATGTTTTATATAGGTATGGCCCTACAATATATTTTTCAAATATAGCATGATAGGTCCACTTTAAACATACAAAAAAGATCCCTCTTAATCATCACGGATGATCAACTAGTGTGGACATGTCTATCTACAGTGGCCGTGCCCTCAACCTGTATTTTCTTATTTGTATTGTTGTTATTAATAATAGATGGCAGTATGTACGAGGGTTTTGCTTTAAGAGGTTTCCCTCCTTCACGCTCTCTGCTCTACAAGCTGCAAGCTTTGTTGTCAAATCCTGGCTTTGATTTCTCTCGATCCATCTGGAACAAATGTGTGCTGGTGGTGACAGTCATTAGCAGGAAAGACCCCACATTAAAAGCTTGTGGCAGAAATGATCAGACTTCAGAAAGACACAACTTATGTGTGGCAGTAGTAAAAGAGAGCGATGGTTTAAATACCGGTAAAAACGTTCATGGCTGATTTGGCAGCAGTTTGAGAATGGGGCAGTTTAACCGTCGTCATTGTTAGTTTTGTGCCCAACTTCTGTATTAATACTTTTGATGCAGAGCGTCCTCGTATTTTAACCTTAAGCTAAAGTATAGACTTTTTTAGCTGTGTATTACAACAGAACACTTTTAATAGATGTTGTGTAATGCCCAACAGATAAGGGATTAAATCAAGGTGCATTGAACATATACAGAAGGTTTTCAAATATGGTTGATTGCATCACATTTGACACTAATGCAACACGGTTTATCACAATTTCTGTGACTTATATCTGGACGTTTCTCTGTTCTGTTGTGTAAGGGATATCCTAGCACATTAAGACCTATCCACCTCACAGCTCTATGGATCAAATGATTCTTACTCTGCACCTTTGTGGAACCTGATGTTTCTTTTGGGGGATTTTAGCTTGAAATGGTAATTGAGAATTCTCTCATTTGAGTCTATTAAACTCAAGTATCGTCTGTTTAGCACACCACCGGTTCCAAAACTGATAATAGAATACAGTTTATCTTGCTGACGTGTTTCTTTCAGCAAGTAAATCGGACAAATGATAGCTGTGAGATTGATTTTGAATAAAGTCATCAGCTTCAGCTTGGAGAATGTGTGGTGTGGCAGAAAAGGGCAAGGCGGAATAGGAGATTCACTTACGGTCGTACCTTCTTTCTTTCTGACCTGTGCAAACACATATATTTACACACCACAGTTATACCATATTTGTAATGAAGACAGGCACTTAGAGCAGCAGGAATGAGGTGTGGTCGGTCCTGCTCAGCTCATCTACAGAGCCGGATCACATCCAGATGTCCACCAACAGGCCCGTGTAGAGACTGGGCGAGGCTGTTTCCCCCTCCATTCTCTACTCCATCCATCCTTCACAACACGCATAGCCACCAAGCTGGCAGGCCCAAGCTTTTTCACAAACTATCAATTGTGCATTAGCCCTGAAAAAAACACAAGAGAAAGTATATTTAGAGAGGTATGAGTTAACCAGTTATTTCCCACCATAATCTTTTGAACAGGGGATGACGCAACACTTGGAGACAAACACTTATTGGGCTTTGTGTGTTCTTTAAAGGGTTTGGTTTCACTACCATGTGTTAATAATCCGTATTTTTAATACCATTTTAGTGGACATTAGTGGGGTTTAGCTGGCATAATGAGTTTTACTGTAATGCTAATGCTGTGACAATATATTCTGCAATCTATTCTATTACTATTAATGTTTTAACCATCCACACATCAACTATTGGATGTCCTTTTTGAATACTTAACTTACAATTACCAACAGCTGTTTATATTTATTTCTGAGTGGCTGCTCTTTTTGTTATGTTTAAAGTCTGACTTGTCTTGCCAATACCAGGTTTGACTTGACTTTTACTTGGCTTCCATCAGCTTCCATAACTTCCAACCACACAAAGATGCTACATTTTATTTTAACAAGCTACTTTTACTTACACTTTCATTCTCTTTTCAACTTGCAATATGTAAATCATACTTTTATTGGAGACACGCAACAAGTTATTGTTGTTAATATTATAGCGAATATAATGATTCATATTGACATTTATAGGGTTGTTTATTTATTTTAGGCATTTAAAGACATAAAAAAGCCAGTTCTGTCATGTAACGCAGACCAGCAATATATTTATGAACCGGCATTAACATAAACTGGTTTTGGAGTCATGAAACATACAACAAAACACAAGTTTGTATTTGACTTAAGGAATGTTAAACTCTTTGATGAATTGTATATCATTATTTAATATGTAATTGTTAGTAATGTCCTTTTCGGAATCGCTTTGAAAATCCTACAGTATAACTGCAAAAGAGATATAGGATAAGACCTCTGCAATTGATCATCACTGTGGGACACTTAGGCTGGAGCCACACGAGAACGGTAACGGTCGTATCCGCTACAGTTCTTTATCATATAGACGGTTCGGCCACACGAGGCAGACAGGGAAACGCAGATAACGATAACGGGTCCCAAGGTGGGTAGATCTGCGGACAAAACGCTCTGGGGGGCCAAATGGCTCCGTGTCTACGCCCTATACGATCATTTTCTGATAACGATGACGCAATAGCCCCGCCTCTCCCCACCTCTCCTGCTCACCCCCGTGTCACCCGCGTCATTGCTGATGTGTTTCGCCAACAACAACAACAGTTTTCCGAGTGTTTCGAGCCAGGTCCCGGTATCTCGCAGGACAGTGCACCCAGCAGGTGCCTCCAGCAGACCCCCCCGCACGGCAGAGTTTCCGTTAACCGAAATCTAAAATTCTCTGGTCAAAATGTCGCTTATTGTTTAGGTGTCCTTTGACACAGGCAGTCATATCATTAGCTAGAACTAGCTAGATCTGATCGATATGGACATAAATGCGAGTGAAGTCTAATCGGACAGGAGAGAGATATCAGAGATCAGCTGCTGCTGACGGAGAAAAAGAGCCCTGCCTCTTTCTCCCCACCTCTGCTGCTAAATCCACCGCGGAGAATAAACAGAAGGGCAACCATGGAAACCATGCTCGGAAGTCCTCTTCGCTGCTTTTGGTGTATTTTGTGACGTTAGTACAGCGCCACTTACAGGCCCGGCATAGCGTCTCCAGCGGGTCGAGCATATCTCGTGTGGAAGGACCATAGACTGTATATATAAAGGGAAAGACATGTTTCTGGTGCCTATTGCGTGTGAACGGAATACTTTTTTGATAACGATTTCGGTTAGTTTACGTTACTGTTCTCGTGTGGCTCCAGCCAATCAGTGGTAAATACATCAATCATATGAAGTATCAGCCATTGGATATTACGATAGTCAGCATTACCTCACTGTATTACCTGCTCAAAAGGAGGATGTTATGATTTGACAGAATTGTGTTTGCACAGCCAAGGAGAATTGCCTAGTGCGTGTGGTATGTGTACAATTTAACGGCAAACTGATGTTGATACTTTGCTGTAATTTTTCCCAGGAGAGCTTTCGTGGGGAGATTGTCCAGTGGAAGCACATTAGCCGTATGTGTTGGTGGTATTGGTGGTTGGGAACCTCTGCAATTTCAGCTGCCAGTTCCTTTGGCTCTGGGCAAAGGATTCCCTGCCATTAAATGGTACCTCAGACTGACTCAGGCTTGGCCCGGCAGGTTCCTGTTGGCGAAGGCGAGTGACAGAGGGAACAAATCTCCTCCTCTGTTTATTTAATTGCTAACCGCTCCGGTTTGGAGGCCACGTTCAAAGGGCCGCCGAGCGGAGGGCTGCCTCGCGTTCCCGCAGCCCCGGGGTAGCATGGATCATCCCACATAATGAGTGGAAGGACTTACTTTACCCAGTCTGCCTCAACCCAAAACCAGCACGTGGTTCCCATTTAAGCACAAGGGGGAAGATTGCACCTTCATTTGCTGGGCATTTTTATGTGTTTATGTGTGTGTACTAGTGCACATATATACATCTGTTCTTGAGCACTAATAGTGTATATGTGTGTTTGAGAGTGTAAGTGCCTTGTCTGAGTGTGACATCATAGTGTTTGTTCTGAGAGTCTACACCACATGTCCAGCACATGTTGTCAGGTTGTGACTGGCACACAGGCCATATTTATATCTGCATGAGGGGCTCAGAGGCCACTGGCCAGCCTCAAATGGGACGGAGTTCCAGGTAGAAGTCAGTGCAGGACCTCACACACACACACACACACACACACACACACACACACACACACACACACACACACACACACACACACACACACACACACACACACACACACACACACACACACACACACACACACACACAGTGCAGTAGAGAGCAGGGTGGGCTAATCTTACGGATGCCCTGTGCAAGACGGTGAATCCAGGGAGTGAGGGGGCGAATAGGAAGGAGGGTGATGGAGAAAAACAAAAATATAGAGACTTGGAAGGGCTCGGGGCATTATTAAAAGCATTTTGAAAAAGGGTGAGCTAGGATATAAAGAGATTATGTCATTCTCAAGGAACATAAAGTTTTATCGATATTGCAAAGAAAATAATGAAAGAAAGCAATACCATTTAGAGATTTTTAGGAGGAGGATTTTTAAAGAAGGTGGAATTATAATAACATTTTCCATAGAGCCCCTTTCAAAACTCCAGTAACACTTTACATGTAAAAAGTGGGAGGATAAATTCTCCACTCAACAGCTTGTGCTTTTTGGGTTTACCAACATACATTCTTTTGCTTATGTTTTTTTCCCCACAATAAACCTATACAGTTTTTAAGATGTTTGCAAAAACTGCAGTTGTTTGTATTTATTATTCTTCTGCCCTTTTGTACTAACATATTAGCACAAGTTTACTGTAGAAATAACATGTGTATTGTTCATTTGACAGGTGTTTTACTGGAGGAAATGTGTGTGATAGCTATCACCTCACCTTCAAAGTGATACTGTATATATCCGTCCCATCAGAAACTGTTACAAGTCTTTGAACAAATGTGTCACTGATGTGTTTCCTTTTATAGACCAAAACCTTGAAGTGGGGAATGTTTCATGCCCCATCCATTTGATCTGTTATCCGAAAACCCCGCATGTGTGTTATCAGACACAATCTGCATGCTAGACTAAGGGTGATAACCCCCCCCCCCATATAAAAAAAAAAAACTGTTTGAAAACCTATGTTTGACTCACAATTTAAATAAGAGGCCCTTTATGGTAAACGGTTGACGTCCATTTTATGTGTAATGTGAATGCACATATCTGTGCTGCCCTAACAAAAAAGCTTTTGATCTGTTATCTAATCATTCTCATCTGTTTTACTCTTGGCTTAAAACCAGCCTCCCGTTTGGTTTCCAAGCGGCTATTGTTAAACATTTGATACAGGCTGAACATGTGGGCATAGAGCTGCACTTTCCAGACGAAAGAGGATAAACATACGCGTTTACACAATATCCAACATTGTTCAGAATTCTTACCGACCATTCTTGTTTAAAAATACAGTGCAAATACATATAAAAGCTCTGCAATTGATTATACCTTATATAGTTAGTTTATCATGATAAGAAAAATCTCAACAAAAGTGGTTACTGTTGCTTAAGCATTTTAAACATTCTCTTCCTTTAACTATTGATTATATAGTAAAGAAATATCAAGTCACCTTCCCCTCATGCAGCCCACACATGAACCCACTAGTGGGCAGTAGAGGCAGCAGTGGGGGCACACCAGCTATGGAGCTCACTTTCTGTGTTTACACCTCCCTACTAAAGTGATTCACGGCTGTGTGCTTTCTCCTCCATGGGATGGATGTGTTATGGTTGGTGGAATGATCCAAGTTTAGGGCAGATGAGGAGGGTTTCACAGGATCTCACAGGATCTCACACAGGATTTGTTAATTAGTTTAATTCCTCCGAGGAGTTTTTTTCTTCTCCAGTAATCAGCACCTCCTCCTTTTCACCTCCTGGAGGAGCTTTGTAATTACAAGACAGCTGTAGGTGCAGCTGTTTGAATGGCTGAAGCTTGTGGTGCGCTGTCAGACTTTATAGCAACGACAGTGCGGCAATGAGACATGTACTCTGGTGTTGGTGGTAATTCATAGGTCTTGTATGTGAGAGAGCTACTAGGACTACACTTACACATGCGCATGCTTGTGGTTTTTCTCCGTATAGCTGACTGTCTGTGCATCCATATTTTTTTCAACAGTCAGTGTATAGCTCACAGGGGAGCATGTGGTCTTGTTGCTTCATGTTTTAGCTGTTAGCTATATGCCCCTGCATCGCTCCTGTCCAAAAGCTATGTGGGAGGCTGTTTCCTCTCAGGATGGGAAATTGTTTCAGCCGCGCTGTTGGCCAAACATTTATTCTGGCCTCTGAGTATAGAGCGCAATTACCTTAAATCCATCGCAGTACTCACCAACACTTTCAGCAACGATGTGCCCCCTTCTATGCCAAGTGTTACCACCTCTGTCAGTTCCAGATTCAAAAGTGTTTAATTGGCATCAGTAGGTCTAGATCTGGTTGTATCTGTAGTTTAAAGCCCTTAGCAGTTATATCCTGCATTTATATTTACAATGTTTTGTCTCTTTGTCATTCTGTCATCATGCGGGCACGTTGTTTTAACAGGGGAAGCAGGATTGGTTAACCGCTGTCCTGCACCTGTTGTACTCTAAGGGCTCACCTTACACAGCTGTGCGAGAAGGTCACTGGCCAGTGGATTGCTAACATCTGGCCAGGATGTGAAAAAGGTCCCGCCACAGAATCTGTGTATGGTGCACCTGACTTTGCACCCCGTTTACATCATCACCAAAATGTGCACTTCCTGCAATTTCCCACCACTCTATTTTTCTTTTTACACATTTCTTCTTCTTTACCCCCTCGAAAGAGGCATTTTAAACTTGTATCACAGGCTTCTGTCAACTGCAAATGTTACAATCTCTTTACACCTATTTGAAACTACAATGACACTTCAATTTCACTCAATTAACTTCCTTCTCAGAAGTAGAACCACTTATTGGGACGTTGAACCTCAGATCCATATTTAAAGATCTTTTTATATTGCGCTAATGCACCGTGCATGATACCAAGTAAAGTCCACTGACAGCCACAAACCAAAACTTGATCCTGCCTTATCTGAGACTTTTCCAGGCTGAACAACGACTCTGTTTTATGTTCCGCACCTCCTCTAATCTTCAGCACATAAATAACAGCTGGCTCTGAACACTCTTTTCCACAATAAAACACCTCTATCAGAGGTGATATGGCTCTGTGTTTCTTCTTGCTCCTGTTCTCCCTTCAAATAGCGCTGTGGGTTAACACAGGGAAGATGACTCCTCTTCAGTCTGGGTGGCAAATGTTTGTCGGAAGCCTGTCACATCCGGGAAGTGTGTGGGTGTGCAAGTGTGTGTGTGCGCCTTCCTCTTTCTGCATGCCTGTTGTGGTGTGCTTGTCTGTATGATGTTCATAGATCAGTGTGGATACACGTGTGTTTGTGTCAGCGTCTGAGCATGGGAGCATATGTGTCGCCATGCGTGTGAGTGCATTATGAGCGAAACGTCTGGCAGGAAGATCAAAGTCTTCTCCATAACTCGTCAGTCAGTCAGTCGGTCGGCCAGCCGATGAATTGCCAGGAAGCTCCACTCACCGCCGGGTTTATCGAGTTATTAGAGTCAGATTATTTCAATTAAAACACAGTTGTTTAGTTAATGGGAATTTCCCGGTCTGTTTCTCTATGTCTCTTCCTTCCCTAGTAATAGATAGATAATTAATAGATAACTTGTATTTAGTGTTATTGGAAAACACACTCGGATGCTATATAAATGGATATAGCAGGTATAGGTTGCAATGTGCAAATAATTATCACCAAAGAAAGTCATGTATTATTTTGGCTTAAGGCCATACTACTTTCCAACACTGCTTTGTAGACAGTGGGAGAAAACAATGTTTGAATTGAAATGTTTTCCATTCTAATTTGTTTTACACAATTATATACGTTACCTTGTACTTAATCAATATGATGCAACCCCTAAATAACCCTCAATTGTCTTATATGTTAGTTGTCTGCATGTGTAATAGATGTGGAATCTACTGGTTAACTTAAGAAAGTTCCTGGTAAAATATGTTGTTTTTTCTACTAGAATTCACTAAAGTCACTCAGATGAATGTACAGCGTTTTGGTGTTTTTGTCTAGAATGCAACACAGCAACCAGATGGTACAGAAGATAGACTGGACACTTTGCCAGATTCCAGGAGATAGTTCACTGATATTGTGTCCAACCATATGAATCTATTCCAATCAAATGTATTTCATTTATTTTTTTCTATCAATCCCTAGCCTCTCAGTATGTCCCCCCCCTCCTGGGTGTCCCTGCTAATGAAGTGTGATAGTAGTGATGAAGTGCAACAGCGGCTGGTTTTGGGGTCCTGTGCCAGTGACAGGGTGGTCCCTGCCTCACGCTGCTGCTGCTGCTGGCACCCTCATGCTCATCATGCACACATTGTTCGGTGGAACCTGGCCATAAGCAGGGTGATGGGGGAAAGCCTGGTAATTATCAGACTTTTCCTCAGTGATGCTGGCCTTTGCACTGTTTTCTGCGTATGTAAATCATTGTTTTCCTTAATACTAAAATGACAGAGTTAATAATGCGTGGATTTATAAATTCATATCCATTGTATTCCCGATCATATGATGCCTGACCATATGATGAGGGATACTGGTACATTTGGCAGCTATGCACAGAAATAGTTGCATTCATTCTGAAAAGCTTGTAAAGTGGTTTACTCATTGCTCTTACCTCTTATTTCCATTTTTTTGTATTCAGTCATATGTGGATGACTATGGGTTTGATCTTAATTGTTTGCGAGATTCTATTGATGGTTTCCAGCTGTCTTGAACAGAAATTGTTCATAATTGCTGAAAACCTAATAGATCCAACACATGGCGGAAGGTCCTAATGACACCTCTTATTTTGCTGACAAAGTCGTTGTTTTTCAAGAAGAAAGCATGACTCACTTGTTTTTAGTTTATATGCACTGTGCTGAGCATTTTCAGTGTTTGCAGATTTACTATCCAGGTTTTAAAAAGCTTGACTCGTATTGTAATCATGCAAAGCTCCCCAGAATAGGCCCAGATTTCCTCTGTTCAAGGCTAAATTAAAGTATTCTGTGTAATCCCATGTAGCATCATAGGAAGGGCAACTGTAGCAAGGAAGACATTTAGAAACATATGTAATAACTGAATGAACAAAAAACATACATATTTTCCAATGATGCCTTTGTTGCTACTCAACAATGCTGACTATTAGAAGTGCAAAGTGATAGTGATAGCATCATGTCAGGCTATCCACACAACATGCCATACCAACATGCTGAAACATGCTTAAAATAGCAATAGCATGACGAAGGTTCGGGGACATTTTAAATCCAAATCTGTCAAGGTATAGACAGATTGGGATGTATGTCGTACAATAACATATGTATCTGCAAACAAATCAAATGGTCTGTACGTGCTAAAGCTAAGGTTTCCTTTCTCAATTGATGTGCTTTTTCTTTGAAGTGTGTTCTTCAAATGGAAGTTCAACTTTGAGGAATTCATTCATCAGTTGGTCATCCTTGTTGCTGTCCATCATGTTAGGTGATGGATCTTGGGGTAAACGTAGCAGGGTTAGTGAGGTGAAGCTGAACGTCGACACACAGCCGGTTTCAGTTTCAAATTGGCACACAAATGGTTAAGATTAAGGCTAGAAATGTGGAGACCACATATGTAATGGTGGTCACATTGGTGGTCACTGCTGTTATTTTTATATA